TATTTTATTTTTTTTAGAAAATTGACTCAGTAAACACCTGATAATGATCTGATTGTGATATCCATTTTTTTTTTTTAATTTACACAGAACTTATCTGGACCTATTAAGTCATTAACTTCCTTATGCTGCATCTGGATCCCCATTTACCTAGCTGTGGGCTTCACTGAATTCAGGGAACATAAATCACACAGTCATACAGTATGTGTAAAACCCAGAAGGACTGTATAGCAATACTCTATAAAAGTCTGTGTGTGTGTCTGTGTGTGTGTCTGTGTGTATGTCTGTGTCTGTGCAACACAGGATGTCAATTCTATATCCAGTTTAACTTAAGAAAACTTATATTTTAATAGAAATTTCTAGCATTATAAAGTTAATCTCTCTCCTCCCCCCAAATGTAACAGTAAATCTTTCCTGTTGATTCATGGTAAATTAAATCATTATTTAATTCCTTATTTATTTTAAGGAAACTGAAAATACGTAGAGAAAAGTATTGCTTCCTAAAAGATATATGAATTCATTTTCCATCATGTTAGCAATTTTTTTAAAAAAATAAAAATCTCATAAAAACCTAAATTATTCATTTAACTGGGAATAATGGAAATGGAGAGACAGAAAGAAATATATGTACATTTTAGTATATATAGTTAGTACACTCATTACTAGCAAAACTTCCTTCTTACAAACGAGTCATAACAGATCAAAGTTTTCTGTAGCTTCCATTTATTTTGTTTTTACCATTATTATGGTCTCCTTCTGTAAAATGTCTCTTTTTGTGATTGTAATCCATTCTGACAAAGGTGGGTTTGATATACCTTGTCATATATAATGTAGAAAGGGCAAAAATATTGGGTACATATTTTTTTAAAGTTTGACGTGCTCTTTTGCCTTTTAAGAATGGGAAACCCTGATACTGACTATATTTGAAACCCTGTGATAATTATAATTTAATAGTATGCATATATCATTATTACTATGAAGAACTCTGTACCCATACTGTATTTCTTTCCTCTATTAATTGCCTATGATCATCTCTTTCTGCCTAGAAGGAGTCAGAGAAACTCAATGGCCAACCAATCCAC